ACACACACACACACACACACACTTAAATCCCACAGTCCTCTGAGCAAATTTACATTTTTAAAGATGAGGAATGAAGTTAAATGACTTACTGGAGACAAATAAATAGTGGGTGGACAGAGTTCAGAATGAAGTCTTTCTGCAGAACCCATAATTCTTTCCATGCCACCACACTGCAGCTGAAAAGCATTTTATTCCTCCTTTCATCTGAAAAGTTGATTTGGCTGTTACAGCACTCACTGACCATGGCAAAACTTTAATTGATCTTTCCATGTCACAGCCTACTGGGTATCCAAGAGGAATAGCAATAGTTAAAGCCCCCTCTCTGTAATTAAGTTCTGGTTCCCTTAACAACTCCTCCGCTATGTAATTAAACTTCTCAAACCAGAGTCCAAGAAGAGCTGTTTCAATTGTGCTCAGTTACTTGCTCTGAGTTCACCATGGTCAAGTCTAGGCTTGGAAAAGAAAGTTGGAAAGGAATGTTGAGAATGTTGCCGGCCCAGCCCAGGCGTAGCACCAAGGCTGTAACTGTGGGGAGTCAGGGTGCATTTCCTGCTTCTTCTATGCACACTTAGCTCATTGTTTTCCTCAATAGATAAAAACGAAGGTTACTGCACATTTATCCTTTTCTTGGTGCTGGCTTTATTGATTTGAGCAGCAACTCTTTCAGAAGTATTAATCATTAGAAATGGAAAATATTTCTTTCTTTAAGTGTCATTATCAGAGGCCTCACTCTCAGAGTACCTTGCAGAGATAGAGTTGCCATTATTAACACATTTTGTGGCTGCATTATGAAAAATTTTTTGCTTACACCACAAGTAGTTTATGGACTGCATTTTTATGCTTTTTTTTAGCAGCAGTAAGATTTGGCTTTGCGTAGGCACTGAAAATGTAAGGCTAGCATTAAATAGTTGAATTATACACTGTGTTGTAACGCAGAATGAGAAAAGGAACCTGCAGAGATTCAGTATCTTCATGACCCTATAAAACCATGGGTTTTTAAATGCAAGTCAAATGAAAAAACTATTAAAGTTGTAACCAAAAGTTGTGATGAGTTCAAGGTCATTAAAAAGAATAGGCAAGATTGCTTGGGGTCAGATATCAAATAAAATGCCAAATTAAAACACCTAGGGGTTTAACAAACAATAAAAACTATTCCTCTGCTCTATGGGTCAAAAAAAAAGAGAAAAATTTCAATAATACTTTCGCATTTCAAGTTCCCAGAAAGCAAAGGTCCTAACGCCCCATACAGAGTACAGCATTTCCCCCTCTGGTCTCACAGTGGTTCCTGGGACAGGCAATCAGTCCCCGGTAAACACAGGACTTGTGTCTAAGCTCATCAGTGAGCTGGCTAGCAGGGTCCAGATGTTGGAGATTATGATCTCCTGGATGCACTGGAATTTGTGCCAGGAGATTAAAGAGAATTAATTTATGACTCTACCTGTTTGCAATATGTGCTCAGCTTATTATCTGCACACTACAACACAGGGTAATTACAGTGCTGAAAATAATGTGCAACACACGTGACTGGAGTTGATTCTAAGAAGGGGCTTTTTTTTTAAGTCTGCACATCTGGTTCTATCATGTGTGTCAAATGATGAATATAGACATACATTACAGTCAAATCCTTTCATATCAAAGTTTTATTTGCCAGGAAATAGGACACTTTGCCCCATCTCTCTCCTCAAACTCCCCCCTCCCTCGCCCCATCAAAGCTCAACACTAAAACTGTCAGCATTAGTTCATTTGAGTGAGGGCAGGAAGCCTGCTCTTGTCTTTGTTCAGTTCTAAGTTCTGTAGTCCCAACTGGGAGCTTTATGTGGCCTTTGTTTTAAAAACACACCCACAGAGGAGAAAGCCTTAGGGCTTACTCCCCAAAGCTAGTGGGGCAACAGATACTTTCAACAGTTAAAAGCATACTTACTGAAATGCTTTAAACTCCCTTTTTATTGAAATATAAGTCTGTTTAGTATATTTACACCACATTTTATGCACATATATACACAGAAGGCAGATTTTTGTCAAATAAAAAAGTTTTCCTCAGTAAAAAAATTAAAATTAAAACCAAAGTAAAGTGCATGGAACAGTTTTGTTTTTTTTTTTTCTCCTCTCTGGTGAGCATCATCATTGTCGGTATTTTGGTCGGTTGTGGGGTGGGGGTGGGAAGAAATTCATTCTTTCACTCAGTCCTTCCGGCTGGTCTTGCACGCAGGAAGTAGCCTTCAGGCTAAAATGACAAGGGGGAAGGGACAAGTCAGGAGCACGTCAGGGGCAGGGGGTCTTGCTCTCTTTGTCCTATTGGGACTCGTTCGCTTCTCAGCTCCTAACAGTGATCTCACCATCGCGGCGCTGAAACAAAGGGAGACAGAGGAAGGGGCTTCACCAGCTAATGTCACAGCCCCGCTCCAGGGCCACCAGCAAGAGCTGCATTTGGTAGGAAATTGCAGAATTAGCTCAACGGCGCAAACGGAAGTTTTCCTTTTTAGCAAAGGCGTTGAAGGGGCCCAGGAATGGGATGGATCTCCCACAGAGTCGGCCACCTGGGGACAAAAACCCAGCAGCTAGTGTCTTCGGATCCCAAATACCGCGCAAGCACAGGGACGAATCCTTGTTGGGTGAAGGGAATGTTTACACTTCTCGGCTCGGTGAGTTCGCCTTCAGAACTCTAAAAGGAAAACAACGTGAGATTGAGAGAAAGGGCAGGTGGACAAAGCTTAAGTTTGAGGTGCCCCCGCACTCGGGCCACTCGCTGGGCGTTGGCCCGCTAGTTCCACGCGGTGGAGGCGATGGCCCTTCCCCCAGCGGCCATCCCCGAGCACGGGGTCTCTCTCTCCTCTTCATCCGGGTGATGCTAAGTTCCGGGCCGGCGGCCGTACTTGGCCTTACAGTACAAAATGTGTTTGGCGAGGAAGTCAAGGCGGCGCTGCAGCAGCTGAGCATGGGGGTCGGCGAGCGCCGCCAGCTCCGGGAAGCGAGGCTCGTGGCGCCGGTAGAGGTGCAGCAGCCGGGCCGCCGCGTCCTGGCCGCGGTGCAGCTCCAAGACTCGCCGCGCTGTCCGCTCGCGGAACACGCACACCGACTGCAACAAGGGCTCGTTGTATTTGTCCCACATGCCCGCCACCCGGTAGCCGTGCACCAAACCCGCCTCGTTGTCCAGAAAGACCAGCGCCCCGCCGGGGCCGCGATGCAGGTTACTGGTGGCGCGATGCATGACGCGCGGGTCCCACTGCAGGCTGAAAAGGTTGCTGACGAGCCGGTCGAAGTTGGCCGTCAGATAGTCAAAGAGGATCAAGTCGGTCCATTGCACCAGGTCCACCAGCTCCGCCTGGCTGCGGTTGGCCAGCTCGGCCCCGGCGGCGCGCAGGGGCTGCAGACGCCCGTCCTCCGAGCGCCAGGGCGCGGGCACCACCACGTCCGTGAGGTTGGGCAGCCAGCGCGTGAGGCTCACCACGCTGCCCTCGGTCCAGTGCGCGGCGCGCAGCTCCTCCTGCACCTGCGCCCACTGCGCGCCCCGCGCCTCCACCCGGGCCAGCGCCAGCGGCGGCACGTGGCGCTGGAGGCCCAGCAGGCGCGCCAGGTAGTAGGACAGGGCCTCGCCCTGGATCTGCTCCGGGTTGATGCCGTAGCGCACGCAGGCGCGGGTGCCGTCGGCGAAGCGGGCCAGCCTGTTGGAGCTACGCCCGCAGCCCCCGCGCTCGAGGGCCACCACCCGGGCGCCGCGCGCCGCCTCCAGCCACGCCGCCGCCTGGGCCTCCGAGAAGCCCCGGGGCACCTGTTCCTCCAGGCCGCGGCT